GTCAAGCAGACAGCTGATTATCAGAAGTGTGAGATGCTGGAGAATTTACTCCGGTGTCCTGTTATATTTCAGATAGCAAGGAGTTTATTAAACTTCACCGAAACAATCTGCAAACTTCATTAAATTTTAATAAACTACCATCTTGTCTTTGTTAGTTAGCACAGACCTTAAACACTTAAAGCTGTAAGCTAAGGATAGTTATATAAGAGCAGATGCTGCTGGTGCAATAAGCTGTAGTTTTACGTCCAATGGATGATGATCTGATTAGTCGACTAATCGCAGAAATAATCGGTGACTAGTCGACTATCAAAATAATCGTTTGTGGCTGCCCTACTGCTGAGGATAAATTCATCCGAGTCACCAGTATCAGAAATCACAAGTTAACAGCACCTCAGATTAGAGCCCAGATAAATGCTACACATAATTCCAGTAGCAGACACATCTCTATATAAACTGTTCAGCAGAGGCTGTGCAAATCAGGCCTTTGTGGTCAAATAGCTGCTAAGAAACCACTACCAAGGAAAAGCAACAAGCAAAATAGATTTGTTTTAGCCAATAAACATTAGACCAGTGGAAATCTGTGCTTTGGTCTGATGAGTCCAAATTTGAGATCTTTGATTCCACTCGCCATGTCTTTGTGGGAAGCAGAAAAGGTGAATGGATGGTATCTACAGGTATGGTTCCTATGAACCATTGAGGAGGAGCTTCAGACACTGAAGCTGACTATAATGCACTTTTTCCAGCACAAAACGGACAGATTTCTTTCAGTGAACAAGAAAGAAAAACTAATGACTCATCTACAGTTTTTCAAACTACAAATAGCAACAGCATTTGGTATAAAGTTAAAATTTTGCAAAACCATGCACATGTTTACAACTTCTTTTAGGAATATTTAATTAAACAGTGATAAAATGCTGGCATTTGTACTGCACCCACTTCATATTTTTATAGCCTAAGTGTAACATCTACATCTTACCAGCAGCCGTTTTACTGCTGAGCAGAACTATTTTCAACGGATTTATTCACAGGGTCAGAAGAGTAAGCCAGACGCAGCCAATGAAAAGAAAGAAACGCAGTAACTAGTGGTGTGCGGATCGATACTGAAATATCGATTCTTCCGATACCAGCAATTTATGTTCTAGAATCAATTCTCATATTACAATATAGATATTTTAGTACTCTGGGGTAAATTTTTAGTTTTTCCATTAAAATGAACGCAGTGGAAAGAAACTATATCATTCGGATCGTCTAATTTGGAAGGAACTACTTCCTCTTACGCTTTTCATAGTCATATGCGAAATACGGCTGTATAAATGTGTGGCAGCCTCTGGCGTGCACACTCACAACAATGGCTGAGCGCAAACAGAGTCCTGTGTGGACGCGTTTTACCTCCACAAACAGCCAGTCAGTCAGGTTTTTTTTATTTCTATATGATTATTCTGCATTATTAAGCAATAAAAACAAGTTGTCTGATGTCCTCTAATCATTATGAAGCAATATGGTTATGTTATTATTACAATTACATAATAAAATTATATATTGTATTATGAAATGTAATGAAACATTAAGTTTTAGTACAGAGTATCGGATCAGTATCACCGATACCACCCTGAATTTTACTTGGTATTGGATCGGAAAGGAAATCAGTGGTATCGCACATCACTAGCAGTAACACATGCTTGTGTGCGGTGGTAGTGTGAGGACAGGGTCGAACTGTGTAACTAACCACGCGCATTACTGATGTAGACTTGTTGCAGTCTACCCACTGTTGGCTTTAATTTGAAGAGTCCATTGTGATCCAGCACCATTACCGTAGTTCCAGGAAGAGATGCTCACAAAGCCAAAGGGCTGATTTTTTTTAATTTTTATCTTTAACCGATCGAAATGCTCAGTGAAGATCACAAGTAACTGAGGTACGGTAATGAAAATGCGCTACTATAGCCCAACTCATTTACTGAACTTTTGAACCAGTCCCTAACATTACTAACGCAAATATGTGATCATATGTCCGTCTGTTTTATACATACAAAGTCACAAAGCCACAACCGTGAAGACGGACATAGATGCCGATGCTCTCTCTGCCGAACGGAAAATCAACATCTACCAGCTGAGCCGTTTGAGAAACATCGTGATCACCGGGGCTCGCACTGAACCCCGTTTCCGTCTCTAGAGCTGGAAACTACCGTAGGCTGCCATGATTGGTATCAATAAAACGAAACGCAATCAGTAACACAGCCCTAAAAATTAAAGATGTATTTTCCTACCTGTTGGTCGCATTCAGGACAAGATTTAGTAGCCATTTTGACCTTCTTTGTTTTATTTGCCGACATCGTCCCTTCTTCCAGCGACACGCAAACAGCTTTACGGTAACTTAAATATCTGTCAGTACATGAATGCCGCAGGTCTTTATCCAGCAAACGCGGACACAGACGTGCCACAAAACCACTTCGATATCTACCTAACTAGATGACGACTCCCCATTAACGAATAGGTACACGCTTCTGTATAGGCTTCTAATAACGTAAAACCTGCGAGCATGCGCACAGCTCGCCCTTCTGTTGTAGCGTTGCGTTCAAGTTCCTTGGGGAAAAGGACAGTTGGAACATGAGCCTGAAGTTAGGTTTGCGAATGGGAGCAGAATGGAAAAGCCATGCTGAAACACCGTCTGTGTCAGGGGCTATATTCATAGTCTGGTATGTGAATGAATAAAGCTACAGTTTATCAAATTCATAACCGTTATTTATATACGACAGTTTTTTTGACAGGAAAGAGGATGAACCGTGCCACACTTCCTCAGACACACTTCAGTAGAATTTAGTCCCCGGAACTGTCGGGAATTTGACTTTAAGACACAGACTGATAACATACAGTACACCAGCTTAGCTTCACGGGTACGAAAACTGCCTAGTAATAGTAATCATAATCGAGTACTAACATGTTACAGTGTAGAGTAAGTCATGCACAGAATACATGACTACACTGTTTTTCAGGAAGTTAGTTGCTTTTCTTTCATTTTAACATGCACCACTGGGTTTTTACTTTGGTGTGGTACAAACCAGAGTAGCTGGCCAGGGAGTCACTGAGGTCATTTAGGAAAGTGTTTCTCTCCAGCCACTCTTCTAATGAAGTTACCTCAACTTTATGAAGCCCGGGGTGGGGGGAGCTTGCTACTGACAGAGAAAAGTTGTAGCTTGTCATACACAAAAGTAAATAATAAAACGAAACCGAAAAGACCCCTTTTCAGTGTTATACATAAAATTACATATTATAACCCAGTGATGGTTAGGGAAGAGTATCATTTCTTTATAATGTGAAACATACTGATGAAATTGCACTTCTTTATATTAACATATGCCAAAAGGATTAAATGTTACTTAAGATGATATGAGTGCAAAAAGTGAAAGAGCAACAGTCTCTTAATAGAAGAGCATGTTGACAAAATGCTGCTGATGTTGGAATCAAAGGACAAAACGAAGACCCCCTTGTTTAAACACACAAGGACTTCTTTAATCTCTTTTAGCATACTGGTGTTAATAAAGTCTATTTGGCCTTGGGGAAAAAGGTGTAGTGACTCCCAACCAGCAAATTCCAGGAACAACATCAGAGATCTCTGTCCAGAAGAGCACAGTCCTCCTCAAGTTCCCAGGGGCCGAGCTTGAAGGATAAAGAAAGCTCGCATGGTGAGGGGGGGTTAAATATAGATAGACTTATATGTCTATCTTAATGCAACTGTTACTGATATTATTCCATTTCAAACGTTGAATCAAAGTTTGAGCCACAACCAAATAATCCTTCAGCAACATACAACAGCACAGCAGAGTCTGATCACACTCAGGAAATACTGTGTGTAAAATAAGTAAAGTTCAAGAACTGTTAATGTCAATTTTATTTCAGAGACAATGATCATTTCTACTTAATCTGTATTTTTATTTATCTGATTTACAAGTGCATTTAAACACATATTTAAAAGCAAAAAGGTAACAGTTCAATGCCGACTCCAACAAATCAACATTGATAAGCAAGAAAGAGAAATCAATAAATGTTGTGGAAAACGACACAAAGCTTCTGCACCATTGTACACTGACAAGTCGGCCAACATACAATCCTGAGGAACTGCTGCACCTCCTTAACATGTTCATCCAAAAGGACATGGTTGTTATCAAAAAATATCATGGGGAAGAACAAAAAACAGTGTAATTAGTGAGATCCATAGAGAGTGAACTAAACACTGGCCCTTTGATGCCAAGCACACTAAAGCATGCAAACACACCACAGTTTTGACCAGGTCAATCCAGTGGTGAGAAGTCCTGACTTCAAATGAGACACTATAAGGAGCCTAAAGAGAGAATGACGAGCACGATGTGGCAAAAAGAAGAACGCTGAAGTGTGACAGCCAAAGATCGCACGGTCATCTGGTCTTCAGTTTGGTTTGGCACAATCTGTTTAAAGTTGCCACAAAGCCAACCTAAAGAACAGCAGAGTTATTGATTATTCATGTTCAGGAAACCAGGCCGTATGCAAACCCGCTGCAAGACAACTACAACTTTGAGATTTTCTGTAGTTTTTATACACTTGGCTATTACATTCGCTCTCAATATGGACAGATATCAACAACTGAAGGCATGATGACACAGTTAGCAAGTCCTCCATCAACATTAACATAGTGCAGGATACAGACAAACTGGTTAATTGTGGCCTTATAAAGGAATGGTAAATAAAAGACTTGCACACTAAAGTTACGTGCAGCATTGCTTTACACATGCAAGATGGATAGCAAGGAGGAATGATGAAGAGACATCAACAACTAAATGAAGGACCGAAAGGAGTTCTTTCAGCTCTTAATGTTTATTTCTATTCCTGGCCTTTAACACAACTTCTTTATTCTTGTGATAGTGTGCGGTCGTCTACTCTTAATATAGTGGAACATCTAAAAGGGACTTTATATTTTCCAACCTACATTAGCTTTAAAGGACCAGGCCCTCGTAGGCAGGGCCCTCAGATTCAGGGGATTCCCTCTGCAGACGAAGATGCTCCAGTGTATTGTGGAAGTGTTTGTTGATCTGCTCCGTCTCTTCACTAGCTTCCAGGTTGGGAAGGTCTTCTCTGATCTTTTGGATCAGCTGGTTTAACACCTGCACTGTCACCTGGATGGGAGGAAGAGGAGGAACAGCACAAGGGTTCCTGTTTACATTCTAATATTATTGGGTGGACAACATTCACTCGTACCAAAGTATTCATGTGCACGCTCTGTGGGTCAGCTGGAATAGATAAGAGCAACTGTTCAAATCCAAACAACAATCTGAGTTTTACACAAAGGCGACTGTAAAAAAGCGACACATTTTCAATTTGATGGCTAAGCCTCACTCCAGCTCCGACATGGATGCCAGGGTTGGTCACGGAAACAATCCCACCAAACACTAATAAAAACAGGGGCCTGGTCCGAGGAGGGAAGAGACTACACAGGGAGGAGGGCTCAAGGAGTCCTGACAACCAATCAACAGCCACTATATATATGCCATTTTTTTTAAGTGTCCATCCATCCATCCATCTTGTTCCGCTTATCTGGGGTCGGGTCGCGGGGGCAGCAGCCTAAGCAGAGAAGCCCAGAGCTCCCTCTCCCCAGCCACCTCCTCCAGCTTGTTCAGGGGAACACCAAGGCGTTCCCAGGCCAGCCGAGAGATATAATCTCTCCAGCGTGTCCTGGGTCTGCCCCGGGGCCTCCTCCTGGTGGGACATGCCCGGAACACCTCGCCCAGGAGGCGTCCATGTCAGATGCCCGAGTTACCTTAACTGGCTCTTTACATTTTTTTTTACATTTTTTTGTGACCACTGAAATTAAAGTTGGGGCTTGCTTCACATTTAAGTAAATAACTTTAAAAATAACTGCCCAGATTCAAGATGCTGTTAAGAATGTGGCAGAAGTTCATTTTCAAAATCATATACAAACCTGTGCGAACCAACCTGAGTCTAAAAAGCACATCTACACATCCTGGCTTCACAAGAAGCTCTTCCTCAGCAGACTAGCCAAAGCGCTTCAAGGTCACCTCACAAAGCACCTTTTTGAGTGTAGCACAAGGATTCAATACACTCATTAAGACAACAGGTCATTCTTCAGCACAGTGAAACATGACCATAAAGGGAAAGGGGAAAAAACGAAGGAGAGAAGTGCTCAATCACCCACAGTGCCACAAATAAGGTGGCGCGACAGGTGATGTTAGGGCTGTGCGATATGACCAAAACCTCATGTTCCGATATAAAAATTCTATCGTCCGATAACGATATAAATCACAAAAATGTAACATTTGCTGTAAATTCTGTGAATCTCGGGCAGCTCGACTTGCGTGAAGTGTTTCCAGCTGTGCGTCATGTAGCTGGAGTCGAGTGTTTTAACCGATGCATGAAACGACACATTTTTAGACATAAGTTGTAACGGCGCCGTTTTCTTTGTGAGTATTTATTACACGGCGTGCTGCGGGGAAAAGCCTGTTCTAACGTTTGAGTCTGAGCTTTATTTATTAGCACCTGGCGGCTCTTTTCTGCTTCTCATCCGTAAATACGCTGCATACTCGTTCACGTTATTCAGTTTATTTTGAAGTCTCAACAGGATCTTGAGCTTTATTGTGAAAGGTTTATGTGGAACAAGCGGACACGCGATGGTTTTACCGTCATTGTTGCCAACGACAACGCATAAAAACAGGTGCTTGTCCGTCTGTAGTGTGGTTATATTAAATATAAGAGAAAGAGAGAACTTTAAGGAATTCATACAGCCACTACAGTGACATCAGAACAATGAAAAATATTGCTGTAAACAGTTTATTTTGCGACACCATGAAACAAACGATAGACGTTTTTATATCGTTATATCGAACAGCCCTAGGTGATGTGACATCAAACTCCATGACAGGGGGTGTGTGGCCAGCATGAAAACAACTGTAGTCAGGATGTAATATTAAGTGACACAATGCCACCTAGTGGCAACAGATAATCAGCAGTAGATGACAATCATCATCCCATGCAAATAACATTTCAGTTGGTGGACTTGTAGTAAGTAGGTAATTTCCATCACCACCTAGTCGGCAAAGGTAGTATATTCAGTGGGTAAATAACAACACCAATCAACATCCCAGACCAGATAGCGGCTCACCCACACCACGCCCAAGCCGTAGTTCAACTTGACAACGGCATGCTTGGACATGCAACAGGGCGCACAAGCCCTCCTACTGCTGTTTGCAGCTTTGTAAGACAATAGAGAATCAGGTCTATAAGCTTCTGGATAATTACACTGTTTTAGTAATGTTGATTATTAAAATCTACGGTTGTTGTGCACAGAGCGAACATTATTAAACCATATCATTGCCCAAACATTTATAGACCTAACCAATGTTCCCTGTAATGTTTCACGTGTCTGAGCGAACACACGAACTGAGCGTCCCTTGGACCACTGTGAGCAACAGCAGACGTGTGCACTGTGGTCACGCCAGCATCCAATCCATCCAAGTTACATGTTTATTAAAATAATCTAATTACAGCATTTACATTTATGTTAGACTACTTTAAATTAACTGCTTTAGCCCACTTACAACGAAAATGTTAAAAAATCTAGTCATTGACCTGTGCAGCATGTTAACACTATTGGAAGGAAAAATAACTTGAACTCCAATTTTGAAAACAACTTTTTTTTAATTAATTTTTTTTTATAAAGCTCTGACTTGTATTCTGAGTCTGTGGTCTGGGAGAGAGTCGGTAACTCTGTCTGCAAAATATAGTAAATAATGACCAGTGTTGGGCAATTAATTATATAGTTACTTCTTCAAAAAAGTAACTCAGTTAAGTTTTGCAGCAGTTTACCTAAAATGCAGCCAAGGTGTTTTTTAAATAAACATTTCAAACTGTTTACAGAACAATCAGCTGTTCTGCATCAAATCTGATGCCACACAAATTATTTGTGCCGCTCCAAAAAATAATTTGTGTCCACTATGAGATGAAGGAGAACAACAGCCTGATACCTGCAGGCCTGACAGCAGCAGATGTGTCACTGCTGTAACACCTGTAACACCCAGCAGTCGCCTCATTGTTCTGACACACACAACAACACTACTGACTACACTACACACTGACTACACACTGACTACACACTAACTGCACACTAACTGCACACTAACTGCACACTAACTGCACACTGACTACACACTAACTGCACACTGACTGCACACTGACTACACACTAACTGCACACTGACTGCACACTGACTACACACTGACTACACACTAACTGCACACTGACTGCACACTGACTACACACTGACTGCACACCGACTACACACTAACTGCACACCGACTGCACACTAACTGCACACTAACTACACACCACCTGCACACCGACTGCACACTAACTGCACACCGACTGCACACTAACTGCACACCGACTACACACTAACTGCACACTGACTACACACTAACTGCACACTGACTACACACCACCTGCACACTGACTACACACCACCTGCACACTGACTACACACCACCTGCACACCGACTGCACACTAACTACACACCGACTGCACACCAACTGCACACTAAGTGCACACTAAGTGCACACTGACTACACACTAACTGCACACTAAGTGCACACTGACTACACACTAACTGCACACCGACTGCACACTGACTGCACACTAACTGCACACCACCTGCACACTAACTGCACACCGACTACACACCGACTGCACACCGACTGCACACCGACTGCACACTAACTGCACACTGACTGCACACTGACTGCACACTAACTACACACCACCTGCACACCGACTACACACTAACTGCACACTGACTGCACACTAACTGCACACTGACTGCACACTGACTACACACTAACTACACACTAACTACACAAGATTTGTGCTAAACGTTGCAAATCTCTCACATCTCAAACACGCCGTCACTCCTAAAACTTCCTCCGTCCTAAACAACTAAATGCCATGTTGCCATATCATTTTTTTGATTGGTCCACATGGTAAATTTTCCACCAATAGGAAAGGGTGTTGTTTTTGCTCACAGGCTTTCGAGCGTTTTCCTTATAAAACGCAGTTTTCCCCGTTTCTTCCTGCAGTAAATATAAACAACGACAGTATTCAGGAAGAAAACCAAACACTGCAGATATTTTATCATAACTCTGGTTTTACGTGGCCGATCAACACAATTTAAAAACTGGTATAAAGTCCACACTTTGTCCGTCAGTTGTTCCGTCTGTCCTGCTCACGTCTCCAATGGTTGTACAAGTTGTCATTAACGTGGCTTCACTCCACATCAGCCGCTTTGCTAAAACACCGGTGTCGCACATAAGGACGCTGTCAGAGCCTGTCGACGTTGATTAGCTGTGTATGCGAATGTGAATCGCACCATTGGCTGGACTATGGGATACGGTGGCATCGTTCTGATCCCATACAGGAGCAGCCAGCCACTCACTGACTAAACTGTTAAAGTATTAATTTTAATTTCAATTCAGGTTAGATTTTTTTTTGTGCGCAACGCAGATGTTCTGTGCGCAGAGATGCGCCAGCAGTGCTTAGCGGGAACATTGGACCTAACTGTTAATCAACATTTTAACTTGAGTGGTTGGTTTGAGGCAAATGAAGAAATTATTCTCTCTGGCAAAATGACCAGTTACTGGTTAGCACAAACAATTTTTTTGTCTTACCGCATCGTTTTCCCTCTCATAGAAGCAGACGTATCTGTTGAGGATTTCAATGAAAAGCTGAACTTGCAGTGATGGATCCATGCACTGGTTGGCAATCTTCAAGGCTTTCTTTAGACACTCCATCACCCGCTTACCATCACGGATCTAAATGTGTAAAATGAGCAGGGAGCATTTAGAGATGTGCAAAAAGACTAAAGTGCACAATAGCATTAACAGCATTATATAGTGTGTTAAAGCGCACTGTGTCCCGTAAAACTGAACTTGCTGATCCTTCCATCCATTTGATTCCATAACTAATCTTTTGGGGTTTAATACAGTGACTGTTTAGCCTTCTTCCTCCTCTAGAACAAAGTCCTACACGACACACTGATGATTCCATTTAAATGTCATTTTTTAGAACGTCACTCATCTGCATGCACATGATTTTACTACAACCATCTTCAACAACTTTATGTTAGTGTGTGGGGAAAAAGCCTAATTCCAACACACCTCTTCACCATTTTTGTCAGTGCTGCGACCTGACCAGAAGAGATGGGCACAGATGCTGACAGCTCTGCACTGGTCAGGCTTCTTCAGCAGCTTGGACGCAGCCAGTGCACACTGAGTCCTCAGGGGCTCGTGGTTTTCCTCGCTGAAGCATCGCATTCGCTCAAAAGTGCCAATAATCAAGGTGATGGCTGCCAGCTGAGCTTTGGAGTCACTGATCTCATCCTCATAGAGAGAGAATGCCTAATATGGACAAAGTATGGAGAACCAAGAGAAGAGATGAAAAGGTTGAGGGGATGGAACAACACCACCCAATGACAGAAAGAGGACTGTAGCGGTCTAATGGTTTTAAATTACAACAAAATAAAGTTATGTTTTTGGTTATACACTCAAAAGTTTTAGAGCACCCCAATTTTTCCAATTATTTATTGAAGTTCAAGTCGTTCAAGTTCAGTGAATAGCTTCAAATGGTACAAGAGTAAGTGGTGAACCGCCAGAGGTTAAAAAAAAGGTAAGGTTAGCCAAAACTGAAAAATTCAGCACATTTGAGAATTATCCAAAAGGCCTTTTCCAGGGAACAGAACATGGGTTCAACATTTAAAACTATTCTGCAGCAATTTCAAAGTCGGTGAGTACAGTTTCCTTCACCATCAAAGGCACTCAGGACAGAACAGCATTCTGCAGGCCCATGCAATAGCCTCTGGTATATGACTAGCTGGTCAGGGGTTCATCCTACAGCAAGATAATGACCCAAAACATAAGTCACAGTCTCCAGACTTAAACCGCATCAAGCTGTTTGGGATGAACTGGACAGAAGAGTGAAAGCAAAGCAACTAGCAGTGTTTCATTTATGGGAACTTCTGCAACAGATATGGGAAGAACTTCTGAACAATATTTGATTTATATTGTAGAAAGAGTGCCACGGGTGTTTTCAGACACCAAAGGTGGCTACTTTGGGTCAAAGGGTTAGAATACATTTTGGTCTCTAAATTGATTCAATGATTTCTTTTTTTCAGTCCAACCGCTTTCATTTCAGAGTGCAATGAGACATTAAACTGCAGAATTTTCAATAAAAAACTGGAAAAACTCAGGTATCCAAAACTCTGACCGGTAGTGTGCACACATGTATGTATATAAACTATTTAAAGGCATGACAGTATTATTAAACATTCTACCTGTGACATGAACTCATACGCTACAGTCTCGTGGTTTTCAAAGCCAATCTCCCCTGCAGCCAGCGCCCCCTGCAGGAAGAGTCGAAGAGGCAGCTCGGCGAGCTCAGCCTTAATGAGTGCACTGATTGTCTGGTGGGCAAAAGAAAAAATCTTCTGGCACTTCTTTTCCCATTTGTCATCCTAAGAGGAAAAGAAATTGGTATGATTTCATAACAGGACATAAAAGAAAATGCATTATGTGCTTTGTGATGAAAAATAACATTTGCTCACGGTGGAGGAGTTTTCCTTGTATCGAAAGGCTAGCTGGTAGGCAGCAAACACAAGGGGAGGCAATGTGTAACGAATCCTTTGGTTTCCACCAGCTCCAAAGTGTTTGCGTGCTGTATTAAGAATCTGAAGCAAACAAGAACAAAGTTAAGTGAAAACCACTGGTCTCAGCAAAAACACTCACAGAAGTACAAACTGCTGGAATTTTCCCAAGAACTAGATAAGGTGGGGACAAAGGAAACACTGCTGCATTATTCTCAGAATCTCTAGCAGCAACTTAAAGGACACCACCTGCAGGACTCTTTCTAATGCATAATGTGCACAATTAAGACTCTTCGGGTTCATCTCAAATGCTTGAAAAGAAGACAACTGGACTTCTACAACTTCAGATACATTTCCACGAGGCTTCTTTAATTCTGAAAACAAAAGGTGGAGTGAAGAAGAAGAAGAATCCTTTATTGTCATTATGTCTTCACACACATAACAACATTACATTCACATATACACACAATCAAGAATAGAAACAACAGGTAAGATATTATGTGGAGATCCAGGAAGATGACGTCCACACTGCCTGGACCTCCACCAACGCACAATGACCTCCTCGGTGTTGCTGGTGTTCGGGTGTTGGATCTCCTCTCTACAGTGAGTCTCATCATTGTTCCAATATCAGACCCAAACAATATCAAACAAAACTTAAATACTTCAACATAAAACTAGTAAAACAAAAATAAATACAGCTTCACGACTGTGTTAGTGAACAGTTTTGAGCAAATACAGTGAATAACGTCGGGCTGAGCACACCGCTCTGTGGCAACCAGTGCATCCAGCTCCTCATTCTCACCACTGGAGTAAGGGCGACGTAGCCGCTGAGGCAAGTGCACCCGGTTAATTTAAACCTTGGATTGGTTCCTGAGGGTTTTTGATCCACTATTAATCATGCGAGTCATCACATGAGCCAAAAAACATTCCTAGGTCATCACTGCGTGTTAAGGGTGAAACCGGTGTAGGACACTGTCACCCCACCATCAGTGGAGCTATTGAGGTCACCTGAAGTGGCTGGAAGGATGTCAGACTGCACAGTAAGTGGCTGATACTTCGTGTCATAGGCTACGCCTCTATTCAATGAAGATGGTTCACAGTGGACACAGATGATCTAATTTTAGCAAACCACCTGTCTTCTTGGTCCAAAATGTGACATTGGTATCCTGAGTGACCTTTAGATGTAGAGATACACGTGAGTGTGCAGCTGATTTCATTTAGGTCCAGTTGGGATAACCACATATCTAAGATGGTTTTTTGTTTGTTTTTTTAAACACACATGACTCTTCCTCTTCTTTCCTTTCTGCTTCAGAAGACAGATTTCTGCCTGACGTTGCAGGATCCTGATGACTCCACGCTCGTCTTCCAGAGCAGGGCTCGCAAAATCGCTTGCCCCACGTCCCGGAGCTAGCAATATCTCCGGTCGGGTGGCCAAAATCTATCTCAGCCCCGCCCATCGGTTATCATATTGCCCGACGGGCGGGGCGATTTTGCGAGCCCTGCAGAGGGTCTGGTAAGTCAAAGCGTAGGCTTCTGGGAGTCTGTGTCGGCTTCCGGTAAACTTCAATGTTGAGGCTTACAGCCTCCTTAACGAGCAAAGCACAGTCCAGGAATGGTAACCCTGATATCCTCCCTGGTAAATCAGTGAATGTCACCCGCATACCTCAACCTGTGGCTCAGTGCCGTCCCTCTCAGCCCCTTCCTCCATGATAAGCTTAGCTACAGTGGGGGGGACAGAGGAGCCCATGGCACGTTGTTGGCCTTGCCTGTACAAATGTCCAGTTGCCTTGTTTTCAAGTACTCAAGACTACCACAACCTTGATGACTGAGAACGTAGAAAGACACAATGTTAACGCAAACACCTACAAGATACTGCTGATCAGGATCTTCAGAATGGAGCAGATGGATGAAACGACCCACAAGGCTCTGCTCCTCAGCAAAGTCCTCTGGGTCTGGATCTTCAGTTGGTTGGTCTGGCTGGTCCTGTATCAGTGTGGACACCAAGTTCAAGATGGCGTCCACCTAGAGGAACAAAGGGTACAACATTAAACCCATACTATTTACAAACTGTGTAACCAGGTTAGATGTCTGCACAAAAACCTTAAAGAATACTTTAACATGAAACGACTAAAACAAAAATGAAAAAACAGCGACTTTTATACAGATTTCTCACTAATCTAAGCAAATATGACAAGTTGTATCACAAAGTACAGATGATACTGCAGCCATACATAACCAGCGTGCATTCAGCAAGAGACTGTGGCTGTGGTCAAACAGCCTACATAAGTTTTCTGTTAACATCACTTTTTCATCTGTCGGTGAGGGCTTCTCTACGTCGACTGTAGTTTGGGGTTTTTGTTAACTTTTACAAGCCTATTTGCAAGGTTGTTGGGAAACTATATAAATGTGTCTACAAAAAGTTGCTTCTGTTCATCTGGACGCAGCGTTTTGTAGGAGAAACGTTTCGTCATCATCAGGTGACGTCTTCAGTCTCAGCTGACTGCAGGTTTCAATCTTATAAACAGGACATTTGCATAATGACTGAAACCAGCCCACTGAAGGAACAATGGGCTGGGAGGTCAGTTCCTTCATCATAATTATGCAAATTCTCATGACCACTGACCAAAGGCCATGAGTCCCATTCACAGAGAGCTGGGGAATGGCTGCAATCACAGCATGTAAGATGGTGACAGATGTACCCTTAGGCCCCTCCTCCATTCAGAGATGGTCTTTCCCTTTTCACGTAAATGGCCTCCTTGACTCCGCCCTCAAACCAGCGTTCCTCCCTGTCCAGGATGTTACATCCTCATCATTGAAAGAGTGTCCACTGGTCTGTAGGTGTGAATAGCCTGCAGGTGGCTCTTCTGTGTTGTAGCCAGAGGTTGTTTGGTTTCCCCGACGTATAAATCCTGGCACTCCTCCTGCACTGAACACCGTACACTCTGTTTGTGTCGGGGGACCCGATCCTTGGGGTGGACCAGTTTTTGGTGCAGTGTGTTTTGACCGGGTGTGTTCTGTCTCCATCTTACATGCTGTGATTGCAGCCATTCCCCAGCTCTCTGTGAGTGGGACTCATGGCCATCGATCAATGGTCATGAGAATTTGCATAATTATGATGAAGGAACTGCCCTCCCAGCCCATTGTTCCTTCAGTGGGCTGGTTTCAGTCATTATGCAAATGTCCTGTTTATAAGATTGAAACCTGCAGTCAGCTGAGACTGAAGACGTCACCTGATGATGATGAAATGTTTCTCCCACAAAACGCTGCGTCCAGATGAACAGAAGCAACTTTGGGAGATTTACGTTCCTGGATGATTGAGATGCATCAAGATGATATTTAAATGTGTAAAAAAATAATTACAAAAACTGTATCTATGAAAACCACACATCCTTTCTTATGTAAAATGTTGCTAGCGGGGTGTTTTGTCTGATGCTCTGTCAGTTTAAATACAAATCTACAGCTGTTAGATTAATAACCTGCTCTTGTGCCACAATGGTGGTGTTGTAGTCCAATGTGTTGCTCAGCACATAGCAACTCATGTTCTTGCGGGACTCATAGTCGAAGTATTCAAAGAGTGGTGGGAAGTGTTTGAGCTGCAGGACCATCAGCACATTGTTGTAGGTATCCACCGGGATCTTCAACAGCCTGGTAAGTTCCTTTGACACCGCACTGCTGGTTGCTATGCTAGAGGAGGGAGAAGAAAGGAGACTGAAAATGTTTTTCCCGGCAGGATTAAAAGAAGCCGACTCAGGTTTACAGTTCCAAGGGACAAAAAAACCCTCATACCTTCAGGGGGGATCAGTATGGGCTCAAAGATCAAGTTTGTGGAAATTATTAAAGTTGAGAAACTGAGTGAGGACACACATAAAAGTAAGCATATGCTTAGAGATGTTTCTGCTGACATGCTGTGTTTGTTCTTCTCCAAACATCTTTGCTCTCATCTGTCTAAAGGACTTTGTTCAGTTGCAACTTTGCAAAATGAACTCACACTGTCAAACTCTTTTTAGAGAGAAGACATTTTGTTTGGAAAATGGCAACATTTCCAAATCAGGCATACTTGTAACCTCTGTTTTGCACTTTGACCTTTAACATGCTTACTGAGGCCTCCAGAGTCAGGGAGGCTCTTGGGTCGATTTTGTGGGACAACATGCTCTTGGACGGGGCTGTCTTGGATGTTTTCCATTTGTGAATAATCTTTCTCACTGCACAGAGTTCAGATTGATTGGAAATGGTCTTCTAGCCTGACCCAGATTAAAGAGCTGCTTCCCTCAGATCACTGCTGATGTTGTTCCTGCTTTGCAACACCAGTGTTGCAGTTGTTTCTCAAGAAAGCAATGTATTACTCATTACTTGTTATTCTTCAAAGTAATCCAGTACTTTGCCTAATTACAGTAACTGTTACATTGCTTTTGACTCTAGGCTGCAGTCCCACATCAACACAAATCTATACTAATGAGGACACATTTGATCTTTCTCCTAGATTTCAGCTATTTAACACAAAGCAAAGTTGAAAACCGACCAAAGGGCCAAACAAATTGGTGATTCTACATTAGAAACACGAACAGGTAGGAATGCAGCCTGACGCTACCTGCTGAAGGGTCTGCTGGTCTGCGGTCGGCACAACATTAAAAAAATCACGTCGACTTCTTTGCAAGCTTAGTGTTAGCATGCCACATATGTAATGTGATTATTGTAACATGGTACTTCAGTGTGTTAACACACAGCTGACTCACTACTGACACACCTACAAACAACCAGAGGGGTCACATTTAACTGATGATCAGTCAGCCAAGCACCATTTTTAATTCAGTTTTATTTAAAAATGACAAATCACAACAAAAGTTGCCTCAGGGCGCTTTCTATTGTAAGGTAAAAATCTTAAAAGAATACAGTGCATGTGATAATCAGCACCTGGCGGCTACTTAATGCCCATGGAAGCAGGAAGCCTGGACTGTACCGCTTCACTGACTTACCATCTTGTTAAATAAATAATGACACTGTATAATATGTCATGTGCTTTTGTGCATCTGACGGTGTATTTGCCAAATGTTAAGATGATTATTATGTCCTGAGATGTAAAACCTTTCATCTGCACAACCCATGAAAGCAACCAAGTTTCTAGTTTCCTCAATAATACTAATAACACATCTCAATATGCAAATTTATGTCATAAGAATGAATGCATTCTGCAGCTTTTATTAAACACAGCTCTATGACTTCATGACATCACACGGCTCACTCAGGAGTTCATCAGGGGGCCAGAGACTTACTGTTCCAGGTTGAGCTTGTTGAAGATCTCCACCGTACTCTCCAGGACTGTGTCTACATAATCTACACGTTCAGGGTAGCATTTCATGGCCAAATTGATGAGAGAGACCTGAAGCGATACAATATCCTCTGATGGCATGTCCTGGCGAGACTGAAAGAGTAGACAACAGAAGGGAGCAGTAGTCCCGCTGTTAGTTACACTTACTCTAGTACTCTACCTAGTTTGAGAGGCTCCGCCTTTGACTCTGTTGTCCTGTAACAAATAAATTATGATTGCTAGTTTGCTAAGATCCTAATATGATATACCATCTCTGTTAGACTTTAAATGTGGCTCCATAATAATATTATGTGCATTTAATGTGCTCACACTCGTATGGTTAAGGATAGCTCTCTCCCAAAAACCTTTTGCATTCAATAAAGTAACTCTGTCATCTACTTTGGTCAAACTAGGGCAAATACAATGTTTTGTCTATATTGTGATACACTCTAGATATATCATGACAGGTCTTGCGCCCCAGCTCCCCCGGTACCGCGGGTGAGTTGCAGCTTAAGCGTCCGTGAAGTCAGGTTTTTTATGTCAATATCAGCATGTGTGGTATCCACTGAACCTCCAAATCTCAGCTAAAAGCTCATATAAACCATTTCTACGACCAGCAAACACAGCGAAAACAACAAACAATGAAAACATCTGTTACATACTTTTGTAAAATGTGCCTAAACAAACATGGAAACCATGAACTCACTCGACTTCACATAACCAAGCCAATGGCACATTGTCTGAAAGCAGAGATCTTCCTACACTGCAAGTGTCGAACACCACAAATATACTGCATGTTAAACAGTAACATGCAATCAGACTCACATGTGCTGTTTTCCCCGTTTCTCTGGTGGACAGCTGTTGTAGTTCGTATCACAGCCGCTGGTTTATTTAAGCTTTTCTTTGGTGTGTGGGGAGATGTTCACACGCGCAGTTTAAAACACTCGTAATTTTGCAGGTGATGACTTTTCAGCTGGCGGAATACATTTGTGGTACTGCTACCTTTTGTAGCAACAGTTTTATGTCATATTTTGTAAATTCCTGCATTTTGTTCGACATCCTCCTTGGAAATCCAAATGACAGCAAGTCTGCAACTCCCACTATCGCCATATTTTTCCCTATCTGATAGTATATAAACACTCTCGCTCAGCGCAATGTGCCAAAAATGTGCCGCAGAAAATTTTCTGATTGGGTTTGTGTGTGTGTGTGTGTGTGTGTGTGGGGGGGGGGGGTAAATGATGCATTCTGTGCGTGTGGGAGAAAACCAAAAACTTGCAGTGAATTACGTGCAGACAGCTTAATATTTCCTCGGCAACCTATACTCGATGGTTATGATAAAGGCATTTTAATCATCATACGTGGAAAAACTCGCGACACATCAAGTATATATTGCCTACCCCTATGTAAAGTGTAAAGTAAAGTAAAGTAAAGTGTAAAGTGTGTTCCTCTGCATTTAACCCATTCACCCAGTGAAGCAGTGGGCAGCCACCAGTGCAGTGCCCGGGGAGCAGTGTGTAGGGACGGTACCTTGCTCAGGGGTACCTCAGGGTAGCCGTTCAGTGGAGTCGAACCCCCGACCTTCCGATCATGGGGCCACCACTCTACCTACTGAGCTATCCCTGCCCTATGTCAAACCTTGTTGAATTTAAGGAAACGTACCTGAATTACAGTGGCCACCTGCTGAGAGAAGATGTCAAACAGTTTGATTTCAGCAGGGATCCCTGGGCCATCTTCTCGATGAGCAAACAGAGCAAGTCTGAAACACAAATCAGAAGCTGGCTTAAAAACATCTCCATAAACAGTAAGTCCTTGAGCTCAGCTGTGCATCAGGGTTTTAAAAGGTTTGTACTGTTCACTGCTGAACAAGCATTATTATGAGCAAATCATCATTAGTTTAAAAAGGAAGAACAAAATGCTGGAAACCTCATGTTGCAGTTAAAGGTTTAAGCTTGGGGACCAGAGTAAATAAACATGCTTATGGAGCAGCACAGTGGTGAAGGTTAGCACTGGCTAGAAGCTTCTGGTTAGCTCCCTGTGCCAATTTCCTCCGACAACCTAACAAGACATAAGTGTTGGGTTGAATGAGAACTCTAAATTGACTATGATTAAGATACAAATATTTAAATACAAACTAATGTTGTTAAAATGTATAGAATAAAGTGATATATGTGGCTAACTTTAACTGGTACTGTCAGTCAACCAGTCTCAAAAAGCACAAAATTGCAGTTTGCTCACTGGGTAGCTCTGCTACACTCCAGCAAATAAAACCATACCTGTCAATGAGGGCGATGATGATGTTCTTGACATTTACGTGTTGATGTAGCTCAGCACAGGAACGCAGGAAAGGATTCAGTGTTTGAAGGTGGAACTCGTCTGGGAAAACCTTCGGAGACGAGATTATGTTAGCTGAGGCCTGAATGACTGTGACTGCACGTCATATATTTGAAACAACCAGGATGACTGAAATAAAGGCCATTTGAATTTTTCAAATAATGTTGGGTTATTGGGGAACACGGCGGGTGGAACAAATCTGCTTACATGTGACCAATCCCCCATTTGTTTTCCTTTAACATGGTACAGTGTTTGTTTGTTTTTACTAACAGTGCATGATTTCTGGTCATCCCTACTATTCCCTAAAGCCAGTGTTATAAACTAAGGTAAAAACAGCAAGTAAAGTCTGGTCTACTGGATTAGTTGTAAATGAGACTCGAGAATTTTCACATAAGGTACCTGAATGATGCATTCCATAAGATATTCCTGAGCCAGTGAATCCCTGCAGTTCACAACCTGCTCCAGGACTCCAGGAAGAACAATCTGTGGAGAGAAAAAGGCACAAGAAAAATGGTTTGACTGAACAAATTATCATAAATACAACAACAGTATGTATGCAAGTATGTACGGCATAAATACATGTCAAATGCAGCAAACACGACGCTGAAACATTACAATTCAATGTCAAAAGAATCATCAATGCTCAAGGATACGACATTGTGCTGTACTTGTTTCTGGAGTATCATTACTTCCAAAGTGCTATCCTGCTTTGTGAAAACTCAAAGTGAGGAGTGGGGTTACATCCAAAAGCATCCTGGAATGGATAAAAGGATAATACGGGACGACCACTTTGACACTAAGCACAGACGTCCAGCATAGTTTAATCAGATGTGCATAATAACACTGAATCTTTGTATTGCTTTTGGGCCACACATGTGTTAGCCTCCTCTACCACCCCCCACAGTGGTGATGCTATCGCTCACAGGAGGCCGATAGGACGATCACTCACTGGAGCACATAACTCCGCCCTAATGTGTGTGTCAAACCATTACCACACAATAAAGCCATAACAGTGGCCATAGTTGATTTTGGTGAAAATAAAGCAATGTGTAGTCATATATTATATCACATCTCTGGGACTTCCAGTACATGCAGAAAAGACACAGGAAGTCAGGTAATGTCAACATAACGTTACTTGAGTTGATAACAACCCTATCACTATAACATAAGTAAACACAGATAATCAAACATCACTCGCACATTTCTGAAAGTCGTGATCAGTGTTGAACACACCAGAGAACCAGCAGCTCTCCTCTTTCTAAGATGACAGCAACAAATCGATTTCTGTGCTGAGACCAGTCCCCACTGCACAGATCAGCAAAAACACACCTGTTTGTATTTCTCCACATTGACACCCTCCAGTTGGCTGAGCCGAACTAGATTGGTGCCCACCAGAATCCTCAGTTCTTGTCGCTCCTTTTCTCTCTTCTCTCGGTCTCGGCTGTGACCCTGATGCTGCATTCGAACCCACAACTTGTTCATCTCCGCAAAGTTTAGAAGGACAAAGTCGATGGAGTCATTGATGTCACCGGTCATCTCCTCTGTTCCCCTGTGGAGTAAAAGCTGCAGTTTAACAAGAGGGATGCAGAAGATTGCAGGACTAGAGTTGTCCTTCCCCTCTGGTGATTTCTAAATTTCCAGTATCAACTATTAAAACACCAATATAACACCATGAACAGTGACGCATTTTTTAATCCAAACAGTGGACTTAATAATTTATTATATGAAAAATCCTGCTTAATATCCCTGAATAGAAAAGTCCAGTTCACAGATCACATCTACATTACATCACCTAAATGTTAATAAATTCTATTTAGTCTCTTTCATCTTTGTACTCATACCCAAATATTAAGAAAAGATCACGTGTGTTCTTTGGGGATTTGTGTTGGCATGTGGGGCTGCAGCCTTAGTCCCACACGCCTCGTAATGATTGGTCTTTACTAGAGATGGCACGATACCACTTTATGTCCAACACCGATATCATAAATTTGGATATCAGCCGATACCGATATGAATCCGATAGTTTTTTAATCAATAAAACTGATTTTCTAATATCTTGCTGCATTTTGTATAAGTTTACACTCAAGTTTAAATAAACAACAACACTAAAGCTATTCTGTTATACCTGTATGCAAAAAATACACTGCACCCAAAATATTTCATAGTTCAGCAAAACTGATCAATCTAATAAACTTAAACCTGCTCCATCCTCCCTATTCTGGTGTTTTAAAGAGTACTTAGCAGAAATATTAAGCAACCTGACTAATAGGGTTGCAAACTCCCAGCAAAAAAAAAAAAAAATGGGGACCCACCCTCTTCCTCGTGATGCTTAATCGATGTAATCAACTTTAATTTGATGCAGTGTGGAAAAAAAATGCACAGAAATAAATAATTTTTCAAGAAATATTAAATAGATTCAACATCTTTCTTCAACAGAACTGCAGACTGCACAGATGGAAAAAGTACTATAGCTTACTAGGGTGTATTAGACTTAATAGTTACTATATACAGTAATGGACTTCTATTCATTTTGCATCAAATTAAAACTTTGGGTGTCAGATAATTATTTATTAAAAGCTCGACATTTTAAATGAGAATAAGAAAGAAAAGTATGTCTTTGTGCCCCTTTTCCCTGTTCATGCCCTATCGGCCCCCCTGGCTAAACTTTGCTAGATCCGCCCCTGCACAGTTACAGCCGTCAGCTGTAGAAAAAGATCCTGGTGTAGAAAGTAATATTAAATACAGTCTAACAACAGCTGATCAAGCTTAAACGTGCTGCTGTTGTTCAGCCGCTGGTTTCCTCTTTCTGGTGCAAAGTGGACCAAAAACAAAGAAGAGAGACGATCAGCTGATCATTGATCAGTTTCATGATTGAAGTAGCAGCAAGAGGAGGCAGTCGCTCCATATATCGCTTGTTAAGCTTAACGTGGGAATGCTTTACAAAGATTCGGGGATGAACTTACACACTTGCTTTACTTCTCTGTGGGATCACCTCCTCGGAGATGAAATGCTGGTTTGGTAGCGAGGCTACAAACACACACAGCTACTCTATCACGTGACCACACTGCTCCGACGTGCTACGGTTATGAGCCGAGTTACGGCGTGTCGCAAGTTTTCTGAGGTGCTTTTTTGATATTTAATGGATCGGGTTACATTTTTTATTTCTCTCCGATATCCGATCCAGTAATTTAGGTCAGTAAACAGAGTAACCTGAAAGCAATGTAAAAAGCAGCATAACAAATGTCTTTCTCCAGGGAGAAATTAAGTAATGTAATGCATTACTTTTAAGAAAGGCGTTCTGTGTAATAATGTTTTTTACTTTACTTTTTTGGAGTAATGACCTGATCACAACAAGAGGGGAAACCCCTCCAACACCCATAAACATCTGGCCACTCAGCATGTAAATAATTTGCATGAATGTCTTTCATATGCTGCTTAGGATGGTGGTGACTCTCAAAGTGATACCGATAATAGAATCAGAATCACCAAATTCTTATCAATTCCCATCCCTGCTTACAATAATGACCACAGTGTAAGCATGTATACGTGTCTCTATGTACCCTATGGGGCAATCTGAATGAAGGAACATCATCACACATACAGCGATAATTAACATCTATATGTTTTAAAAAGCCATTATTATAAAGTACCTTTGATCTTCAGAGTCATCTTCCTCCTGTGAGTCTGACGTTACCTTCTCTGTTCGGTTCACTTGTCATGATCATTATGTCACTTATACATAACCCCAACTACTAGAAATTTCTTCACCACTAAATATGGAATAAAGATTCTGAAAAAGCGTTGCAGGCCTGGTTAAAATAACTTCACAGATCTATCATGACTTCTAATAAGAAGTGCCTTATAACATTACCAATGTATTAAACAGCTGGGGTACCCAACAAAATACTAGCATTAAAAAAATACAGCAGACATACAAAGATGTGGCCCCTTCCTGATTTCCTACTTGTTTTTATACGTTTGTCATTCTTAAATGTTTCAAATTATCAAACAAATGTTAATATTAGAGAAAGATAACCTACAAGGCCCTGTGTGAAGGTTGCAAACTTTCTGCAGACTCAATCGCTATAGACCTCCAAAATTCAAATGGCCTTCAGACTGGCTCAAGAACAGTGCATAGAGAGCTTCATGTAATGGGTTTCTATGCCCAAGCCTTACATCACTATGCAAAGCATCAGATGCAGGGGATTAATGTGTGTGTGTGTGGGGGGGGGGGGGGGGGGGGGGGGGGGGGGGGGGGGGGGGGGGGGGGGGGGGGGGGGGGGGGGGGGGGGGGGGGGGGGGGGGGGGGGGGGGGGGGGGGGGGGGGGGGGGGGGGGGGGGTGGGGGGGGGGGGGGGGGGGGGGGGGGGGGGGGGGGGGGGGGGGGGGGGGGGGGGGGGGGGGGGGGGGGGGGGGGGGGGGGGGGGGGGGGGGGGGGGGGGGGGGGGGGGGGGGGGGGGGGGGGGGGGGGGGGGGGGGCGGGGGGGGGGGGGGGGGGGGGGGGGGGGGGGGGGGGGGGGGGGGGGGGGGGGGGGGGTGGGGGGGGGGGGGGGGGGGGGGGGGGGGGGGGGGGGGGGGGGGGGGGGGGGGGGGGGGGGGGGGGGGGGGGGGGGGGGGGGGGGGGGGGGGGGGGGGGGGGGGGGGGGGGGGGGGGGGGGGGGGGGGGGGGGGGGGGGGGGGGGGGGGGGGGGGGGGGGGGGGGGGGGGGGGGGGGGGGGGGGGGGGGGGGGGGGGGGGGGGGGGGGGGGGGGGGGGGGGGGGGGGGGGGGGGGGGGGGGGGGGGGGGGGGGGGGGGGGGGGGGGGGGGGGGGGGGGGGGGGGGGGGGGGGGGGGGGGGGGGGGGGGGGGGGGGGGGGGGGGGGGGGGGGGGGGGGGGGGGGGGGGGGGGGGGGGGGGGGGGGGGGGGGGGGGGGGGGGGGGGGGGGGGGGGGGGGGGGGGGGGGGGGGGGAGGGGGGGGGGGGGGGGGGGGGGGGGGGGGGGGGGGGGGGGGGGGGGGGGGGGGGGGGGGGGGGGGGGGGGGGGGGGGGGGGGGGGGGGGGGGGGGGGGGGGGGGGGGGGGGGGGGGGGGGGGGGGGGGGGGGGGGGGGGTGGGGGGGGGGGGGGGGGGGGGGGGGGGGGGGGGGGGGGGGGGGGGGGGGGGGGGGGGGGGGGGGGGGGGGGGGGGGGGGGGGGGGGGGGGGGGGGGGGGTGAAATTCAGGAGCTGGGCCTGGCCCCTTAGTTCTAGTGAATGGTTCTTAGTTCTTACTCCTTCAGTATACCAAGACATTTTATACTCCCAACTTGTGGGGCGATCGTGGCTCAAGAGTTGGGAGTTCGCCTTGTAATCGGAAGGTTGCCGGTTCGAGCCCCGGCTTGGACAGTCTCGGTCGTTGTGTCCTTGGGCAAGACACTTCACCCGTTGCCTACTGGTGGTGGTCAGAGGGCCCGGTGGCGCCAGTGTCCGGCAGCCTCGCCTCTGTCAGTGCGCCCCAGGGTGGCTGTGGCTACAATGTAGCTTGCCATCTCCAGTGTGTGAATGTGTGTGTGAATGGGTGGATGACTGGTTGTGTAAAGCGCTTTGGGGTCCTTAGGGACTAGTAAAGCGCTGTACAAATACATTTACCATTTACTTTGTGGGAACAGTTGGCCCCTTCCTGTTCCAACATGACTGCACACCAGTGCAAAAAGCAAGGTCCATAAAGACATGGAGGAGCAAATATGGTGCATAAGAATTTGACTGCCCTGCACAGAGTCCTGACCTTAACCTGATAGATTGTCTTTGGGATGAGTTCAAGACTGTGAACCAGGCCTTATTCGTGTCTGACCTCACAAATGCCATTCTGTAAGAATGGTTAAAAAGTCCATAGAACACTCCTAAATTTTGTGGAAAGCCTTCCAAGAATAGTCAAAGCTTTTATATACAGCTGCAAACTCTATGGATTAAGAATGGGATGTCATTGAAGTTCATATGAATGTAAAGGCAGACAAGCAAATAGTATAGTGTAGCAAAGAGATTGCAACATCGGTTGCAAACACTCCTTTGTAATTGAAATGTTGGAAAGGAAAAAAACCCACAACTACTGTGATAGTCGTGGGTGCACACAGAGGGGAAAAGCTCAGCTTACTTACTCTGACTGCTCTCCATCATCTGGTAGTATGTTGCGAGTACACTGCAACAAGTAATTTCTGAGGAAGAGGCCCCTGAGTGGGTGCTGGACACCACGGCACATTTCAACAAGGTCCTTCAGAATGTCCTTGCGAGACTGCGGGAAGGACCGAACATATACCACACCCACTGTAATTAGCAGATAACTGGGGAGACGAGAGGAAACAAAAGACTTCATTAGACAGACGTCTCCACAACTTCAGAGAATAAAGTTAGTATAAACAGACAACAGTCTCACAAGGTCACAAATGTGGATTCATCACATTTCACCTACACCAATGCGACTACTCACAAATGTGTAAAAGTAACTTTTGCACATTTACTGGCGACCACAACTGCTAAGCCTCACTCTCCTAGTAGAGACACTTATGTTATCAATTTGCAATTTCTATGTCGCCTTGTTCAAGTTATCACGTTCACAAGATTTTGAGAGGATTTTCATGAAACTTAATTCTGACCACGAGGTCAAAATCACCAGGAATGAAACTCGTCCGAGACTCACAGCAGAGTCAACTATGGTATCAATGTGAAGCTCCTACGTGACCTCATTCTCCAGTTATCGCATTCACAAACTTAGATGTTCGCGCTGTCCGCCCACGCACCTACTCACCTGCCATGCTGACAACAACAGTCCCATCAGCCTCTTACGGCTGAGGGGTAAAAATCCACACATCACAACCAGAATCCATATTAACATTCCATCAACAGATCGAAATATTTAATTCTGAAACACTGCCTCTGCATCCAAATGTCTAAATATTTGGACACAGATACACAAGGACCAGCCCACATTTGCTTGTGTATGGTCTGAGCTATATCCACAAATGCAGGTAGAAACCTGGGACAGGGGCCTAGAGTTGAAATAATATCACCATAATAAAATAGCCCTAGGAGGAAAATATCAGTTCAAACAAAAAGCAGATAACATGGAGACATTGGCCTTACTGATGCAAATTTGCAACCTTTTCAGACCAAACACATGTTTTTCAGCACTTCATTTGTATGGCTGAAATGTTAATGTCGCCTCTCTACTGGGTAAAAGGAAGACAGCGCTGAACAGACGCCACTAATGCTCCACATTTGACAGAAGTTCAGGTTGGTTGATACTCACAGTCTGGGGATGATGTTGCCCGCATACTGGACCAGCTCATACAGATCTGCCACCTTACGCCCCTTGGCAAACTCGTCGGTCAGATAAACCTCTAAGTAGTGGAGTTCATCAGAGATGGCCATATCTGCAGACAGTGTTAGGGACCAATGCACACACGCCACAAATCATACACATTCAACAATACAGTTCCTTGCAGCATGTTTATAATGTAGTGGCTTCAATTTCAATCTGCACACAGTGTGTTCAGGCGCAATACTGTCAGGCCACCTAAGCATCAAGTGTTCTTTCAATTTTACATTACGGCTCTATAAGCCTACAGTTTACACTCCAACAAATCCTCAAAGGAAGCATCAGTAGAACTAAAAACGGGGATGAATTAAATGAGTGCAGTAGTTCTGCCTTTTTTCCAACAGTTGTTCAACTAAGACCATTTTGGATGAGATCTCCAATGGCAACCTGAGTGTTTGACTTTAGAAGGCAGCCAGCTCTGCACTTTCAAACATCAGTTTGCACTGCCTTCATTCAGCTCTCATTTATTAAACAAGATATTGTTGTAATGCAAGCATACTGTCCACGCTGTTTCAACTTCTGGCCCAGTGTCTGAAGTTTTCTCCCCAAATCAATGTGACCATGCAGTAAAATACTAGGCAGCGCTTATTCTCCTTGTCCTTTTCAAGTGAATATCTCCCGCCTGCTTGCTGCTTCAATTGCCTTCAAATATGATTAACATTAACATGAAGGCAAATGAATGACAATATGACAACCCCACCTCAAACATCATAAAGTTATAAACTGTGACATGTAACGACTGGCTAGTAGCATCTGTTATACAGTCAGCCTGTTTAGATGAGACATAAATGTCTAATCAGCACATGTAAAGGATACAGAGCTCGTAGTAGCTCTTTGGAGAAAGCATGGAGGTCCTTAGTTCACCCAACATGTTGGAGGCATGCTTCAAGGCGTCCATCAACTTGTTTTTGTCCTGCAGGCCACAAATATATTACATATCACATCCAAAACACATGCGTGATTCAAGAAACACTTCATGTATAACACGCTGAACAGCCTGAACGGACCTTGAATTCATCTTTGAGACATCATTATGAAAAGGAAAAGGGGATTAACTGATGGAAAATGCCCCTCATTTACTTACATCAATAAAATTTAGTTCATCCTTTTCCCCCATAGTGTAAGAAATATGATTACTTCACAGTCTCTTTAAATATCATGACAGAATTTTGAGGTTATATTAGCCATCTCTGTTGATTATCCATATTATTGTAGTATTCCTTTTAATCAAAAAGACCATAAAAGTCCAGGAGTATCCTTAGGAAGAACCAGTGGTTTAAAAAGCACATCACAATCAAGATGATAGTCCTATAAACTGAAATGCTCCTACCAGGCATCGCTTCATCTGGAACGACTGGACCTTGACAGCTTGCACAGCTTCATCCAGAAGCTTCTCCTGTTCATCCTGGGGTGACTGCTGTGTTGCTGGCTGCAACAGAGGATGGAAATACAAGTTATAGCACTCCTTGATTGATCTAGCAGGATTTTCTTCATGCAACACAGCATAAAAAGCAAGAACTCAGGTTTGACTTGTCTGATGGTCTATAACGCCAGAAAAGAGAAAGGAAAAAACGGAGCAGTCTGAGGAGTTCAGCAGACTCCCGAGTTGTTGTTTCCATGTCTAAATCCAAAACACATCGAGTCAGATTTGTTTGCATGTTTGAAGTCACGACGGCTGTATCTACTAATGAGGTTTAATGGCAGGATCGTCCGTGAATTGAAGAAAAAAGTTTTACAGAAACGACTGAATGTCCACCAGACCAAACGAAGCTGCTACAGGTGTTTGAGCTCGCCTGCACAATCTCACACGACATGCTTCCGTCTGTATGTTCCGTGTTCGGTTACTCTAGGTCGGAGGCAACATTTAGATGCTTACATTAAAATATGACACAGCAAAGCGAAAGACGACGCTAACAAAAACCTAACTGTACAGTCTTATTTAATTTGCGTCAGAAATTTTGATGTGTACCGCAGCCTTTGTTTGCAAATATCATACTGTATATAGGAGCACAATGAGTGTTTCAAAGACAAACAAATGTTGCATCTAGTTGCTCGATAGCTTCAGTCGGCTGCTAGTTAGCTTAGCTAGCTGCTGTCAAACGCCGAGCTAGGCCAAAGGACCATTCACGCAGCTGACTTTAGATCAAATCACGTTACACAGTCAAAATGAGTTTTTCCAGCGGTCAAAACTTCACACAGGCAAATTTCGGAATGCACAACGTTGCACTAAAGTCGGTATTCGGTAAAGTGCTTACCATGGTTATGGGACGTGTTTCAGCTCAGTCGGGAAGGCTGGCCTGTCATGTGACCCACAAGAACGGGCTGACGGTCTGCACTCAGTTAGCGTCACGTCAGATCACAGGCGTGGCCGTTTCTCCACCACTCTCTCTACGTCTCGGGCTTGGGGCTACATTAAGGAAAATATATTATTGATCATTTCGAGAAAAGAGGTTGAAATGTGGAGATTACAGTTGTTGTTTCAAGAAAAATACCACGCCTCCCATGCCCTCTACAAAATGCCTTGCGTAAACGAGTTAGTTAAACAAATTGATCAGTCTTCTTACCACCGTGTCTTGTGATATAACATACATCCTCTTTCGTTATTATTTCAACACTATGAAAACACCTCAGTATACATAAAACTGTATTATGGAGAGTTGGGACAGTTGCTAGTGGCAACACTGAAGACCAAGTTGAGATTCTTCTGCGACTCTTCAGGAAGACCACATCACAAGTTCAACATACAGTTTTTGAAAGACAGCAAGCAAGCAAAAAAGTTCAACTGTGAAGTCAGGAACAGATTTGAGGTGCTGGGGGATCTGGTCGAAAAGACAATAGAGAAGCCCTGGACAGAAATACAGAAGACCTGGAAGGCCGTTTACACCAAAGTCCTGGGGAAGAAGAAGAGGGAGCAGAAAGATGGGATGACAAAAGAGACATGGGAGAAGATAGAGAAAAGAAAGGAGGTGAAGCAAAAAATTAACAGATGTCAAGTGAACCGAGAAGTGAAGAAGAGCGCCAGATGGGACAAAAGACAATTTGTGCACAGTATGACAAAAGAGGCAGAAACAGCAGCCAAGCAGAACAACATGAGGTGAGTGTATGAGATCACCCAGACCTTGTCAGGAAAAAGTTTCAACTCAAGTAAGCCAGTCAAGGACAAGAATGGGAAAACAATCACAAGTGACAAGAAACAAAGAAGAAGATGGGTTCAGTGTTCCATGTGTAATGGTAACTTTATTGTCCCCAGTGGGAAATTTGCAGTATGTCCATAAGCCCTGAGGAAACAACCTAAATTTATCATCAAAAAAGTGCAGTGTGTAATGGCAACAACCCTTATGGTTTAGAGTTATTAACCATGATAATAGCACTAGGTACAATAGACAATCTATGTCTCTTTGTATTCACTGCAGGCACTTTATACCGACAACCTGATGGAAGCAGTTGAAAATCATTAAAGAGAGGGTGATCTGAACACAACAGGACAGAGGTTGCCTTCCTCAGCACCTGCTGGACCTGAGACCTCCCTGAAATCTGACCAGCCACTTTAACCAGGTTGCTAAGTCTGGTCTTATTATTCAAATAAATATTACCATACCAAGAAATGATACAGAAGGTTAAAACAGATCCAATAAAACTTTTTATAAAAAAAAAAGAGTCATCATTACAGATGAAACATTAACACCTCTCAACCTCCTTAAAAGGTCTTTGTTGAACCTTTTTCACTGTAGCAGCAAGTTGTGACTCAAAGGACAGAGTCTTATCAAGAACAACCCCCAAATACTTATAACTGCCCACCAGTTCAATGGCTGCACCATTCACCACTGTTGGTGCAGGATGGGGGGATGTCTTCCTGAAGTCAATAACCATATCCTTGGTTTTCAGTGTGTTGATCTTTAAGAAGGACTGATCACACCACGAAACAAACTCATCCACAACAGGCCCATGGGAATCCTCTTCACCATGAAGGAGGCTTACAATGACTGTGTCATCTGCGTATTTAATGAAATGCCTATTAGCCTGTGTACTGCGACAGTCATTAGTGACAAAATATACAGTAGAGGAGAGAGACAGCAACCCTGTGGTGAACCAGTAGAAGAGTTCAGCTGTTTGGAAAAACAGCCGTTTACTCCATTTACTCTCAAAGAGATCCTGAATCGACTAACACCGCAAACAGTCCCCGACATACCACCAGCAGAAGAGCACCTCTGTATCAACACCAGTCCACCAACCAAGGCAGAGATCACCAAAGCCATCAAGTCCTTGAAAAATGGAAAGGTACCAGGGCTTCCAGAAGCTGTCAAGGCAGACGTGGCAGCAGCAGTGGAGATGCTGCACCCTATCCTAGTGATAATATGGGAACAGGAGCAAGTGCCTGCTGACTGGAAGCTTGGGTACCTGGTGAAGCTCCCCAAGAAAGGCGAAATATCTCAGTGCGGCAACTGGCAAGGAATTATGCTGCTGTCCATCCTCAGCAAGGTGTTGACCAGAATCATCTTGGAGAGAATGAAGGAGGCATTGGACAAGAGACTGAGATCAGAGCAGGCAGGATTAAGACAAGACAGATCATGTACAGAGCACATCAAGTCAAGTCAAGTCAAGTTGGCTTTATTGTCACTTCAACCATATACAGTTAGTACACAGTGAAGCGAAACAACGTTCCTCCAGGACCAAGGTGCTACATGCAACATAAATTTACAACATAAATTAACAGAAAACACTAAACTAGCTAACTAAGAGGCCTAGTTAATGGTCATGCAACACAGAGCACCTGTATAAAAAAGCCAAAGCCGACTGTACTTCCTCAGGAGGCTGAGGTCTTTTAACATCTGCAGGAAGCTCCTGAGGATGTTTTACCAGTCGGTGGTTGCTGGAGTACTTTTCTATGCTGTGGTGTGCTGGGGGAGCAGCACAGCAAAGAAGGACTCATCCAGGCTGGAGAAACTGATCAGGAGGGCTAGCTCTGTGGTCGGCATGAAGCTGGACACTCTGGTGACAGTGGCAGAGAAAAGGACATTAAAGAAACTGATGGACATTATGGACAATGCCAGGCATCCTCTGCACACGGCCATTAACAACCAGAAGAGTCTGTTCAGTGACAGGTTGCTTCTCCCCAAGACAAGAACTAACAGACTTAAAAACTCCTTTGTCCCACACGCCATCAGACTGTTTAACTCCTCTCTGGAGGGGAGAGGGAGGGGAAACAGGAGGACAAAGGAGGGGGGAACAACTAAGCTGTAGTGCCTCTTCACCTCACTGTGCAATACCTTTTGTGCAATACTTTTGTAAATAGTCAACAGTGCAATAGACCTCAATACTTGAAATGTGCAATTCACTTGTATTTTTATTTTTTATTCCTATTTATTCTATTTATCCCCTTCGTATATTTTATTTATATTGTCTCTGTATTTATATATGTGTGTGTGTGTATATATATATATATATATATATATATTATATAATTCTGTATATGTCTCGTGTATATATATATATTTTTTATATATATATATATATATATAATATTCTGTAACTGTAACTTCTGTCGGTGCTGTGCTTTTTGGAAATCGAATTTCCCAGAGGAACCCACCCGAGGGATTAATAAAGTTCTATCTTATCTTATCTTATCTTATCTTATCTTATCTTATCTTATCTTATCTTCACCAAACAGCTGGAGGACCTGGATTTTGCAGAGGACGTTAGCCTTCTGTCCCATAAGCAGCAACATGCACAGTCCAAGCTTACCTGACCTGAAGATCAACATCAGAAAAACAGAGGTGATGCAGCTGAACAACTGACAAAAAGATCCACTGCAGCTACAGGGAGAAGACTTAGTGGAAACCGACTGCTTCGTCTGCCCTAGGAAGAGTAATCAACAGCAATGGTGGCACAGATGAAGACATTAGGAGCCAGATCAACAAAGAAAGACTTGCATTCAACATCCTGCGACCCATTTGTAACTCCAAAGCCTTATCTCAGCACAGCAAGATCCGCATCTTCAACACCAATTTGAAAGCAGTCCTCCTGTATGGGTCCGAGATGTGACAGGGAGTGTTGGTCAAAATAAAATAAAAGACTCAGCAGTCCTGTTGCTCTATTTTCACCTGTATAGCAGGAGTGGGGGGGAGGGGGGAGGTTTGCCCCGCCCCGCCGCGGTCACACCTGCACATAAGGTCAGTACTTCCACGCTTTAAACGCTGCACGGTCATACTCTCTCCCGCACTCGTTATATTATCTGTTTTTTGATCTGCACACAGCTGTTGCCACGAAAGTCGCACTCGCTTACGTCATTGTCATGAGACACTCTCGCAAAAAAATCATGGTTTTAGTAACGCAGTAACGCAGCGTGCTTACGGGGAAAGTAACAGTAATCTAATTACCTTTTTTGCAATAGTAATCCCTTACTTTACTCGTTACTTGAAAAAAGTAATCGGATTACGCGTTACTGCCCATCTCTGGTGGCAGGTGACCAACACCATTACCAGCAAGATACAGAGCTTCATCAACAAGTGCTTGCGACACATCCTCAACATCAGATGGCCTGAGAAGATCTCGAACACAGACCTGTGGAAGAGAACCAGACAGAACCCGGTCGGTCAAGACATCAAAAACCATTCGACAATGGCAAGCACTGGACTGGAACCCACAAGGAAAACGGAAAGTGGGGAGACCCAAACAGACGTGGAGAAGATCTCTTGAGAGTGAAGTAAAGGCCGCCAGAATGACGTGGACCCAGCTGAAGAAAACGGCTCAGAACACAGAGTCCGTTGGCGTGGTGGTGTTGCAGCTCTATGTCCACCAGGAGTCTACAGGCTTGATAATGATGATGATACATAAAACTGTATTATTGGAACCTTATAGATGGCAAATGGACTGATTCTTGAATAGCCCCTTTCTACTCTCCGGAGTACTCAGAGCGCTGTATACAACACCGCATTCCCTTTCTTCTATGCTTTTCAGTGCTTTCTAGTTAACAATAACACGCTAATGGATGCATTGGAGAGCAACCTGGGGTTAGTATCTTGCCCAAGGATTAATTGGCATGCAGACTGGAAGATACACGGATGGAACCCACAGCTGGACAGGCCGTCAGGCATACCGGCCATTTGCCCGGTGTCCAATGGAATGGAATTTTCCATTTTTATGGGCCGATGTTTTTTTTTGTTTTTTTCTGTTGTAATGGTATAAACCAGGGGTGTCGAACTCCAGGCCTCGAGGGCCGGTGTCCTGCAGGTTTTAGATATCACC